GCTGCCGCTGGTTGTGGTGGTGGGTGGGGTGGGGAGGGGGTGGTGGTGTTTGTGCTGCTGCTGCTGCTGCTGCTGCTGCTGCTGCTGCTGCGGCTCATGTTTAGGGTGCTGCTGCTGCTGCTGTGTGGGGTGATGCTGCTGCTGCTGCTGCTGCTTATGCTTATGGTGATGGGAGCTAGTGGGCACAGGCACGGGGTGATGCAGCTGCTGCTGCTCAACAGGGGGCTGAAGCTGCAGCTAGCTGCAGCAGCTAGCTGCAACTAGCTGCAGCAGCTAGCTGCAACCAGTTGAAGCAGCTAGCTGCAGCTAGCTGCAGCAACCAGCTGCAACTAGCTACAGCAGCTAAGTGCAACTCGCGACAGCAACTTGCTGCAGCTAGCTGCTGCAGCTAGCTGCAGCTAGCTGCTGCAGCTAGCTGCTGCAGCTAGCCGCAGTTAGCTGCTGCAGCTAGCTGCTGCAGCTAGCTCCCTGCTTCCCCCGGCGTCTTCCGCGGGTGGGCAGCAAATCGGAAACAGTGAAAAGAACAAAGTGTAGAATAAAACAAGTTAAAAAATTAATTAAAATAAAATAAAATAAAATAAAATAAAATTAATTAAATTAAATTAAATTAAATTAAATTAAAAAGTCTCACCAACACAACCCTTCATGTGAATATAGCCGGGCATAATTCCAATTTTGCATTCCCCAGGTTTGATAATGCCGGGGCAGTTGGGGCCAATGAGGCGAGTGACTTGCTGCTGCTGCTGCTGCTGCTGCTGCTGCTGCTGCTGCTGCAGCAGCAGCTTGATGCGGGCCATGTCGTGCAGCGGAATGCCCTCAGTTATGCAAACTGCCAGCTGCAACTTTGCTTCGATGCATTCCTTAATTGCTGCTGCTGCTCTCGCAGGAGGCACAAATATCATAGAAGCGTCGCAGCCAGTTGCTTCCTTCGCCTGCAGCAGCAGCAGCAGCAGCAGCAGCAGCAGCAGCAGCGGGGACTGCAGCAGGGAGCACGCGTGAACCAGCAGCAGCAGCCGCAGCAGCAGCACGCTTGCTGCTGAAACAGCAGCAGCAGCAGCAGCATGCACGCGGCCAGCAGCAGCAGCACAATGTATGCATGCTGCTGCAGCAGCAGCAGCTGCTGCAGCAGCTGCAGCAGCACGCCCCACAGCAGCGAAGCAGCAGAGGGCCTGCTGCAGTGCCATGAATCTTTCGAGCAATTTATAATTACCAAAAAGTTTATTTTTTTATTTTTTTAAATTCAATTAATGGTTTTTTTAATTATCATTTATTACATATTTATTATTATTTATTAATTTAGTATTTATTTATTTTTTATTTATTTATTTATTATTTAATATTTGATTTTTATCCATTATTCATTTATTCCTTTTTTATTTAAAATAAATAATTTGATTTAGCTTTGATTATTTATTATCTCTTTGATTTGAATTTAATTTTAATTTTTATTTCGAATTTATTTAAAATTTATTTTATTTTGAATTTTTAGAATTTCTTTAAATACATTTTTAAATTCATTTAATTTATTACAATTGAATTGAATAATTACTTTTTAATTTTTTGAATGAAACTAATTTTTGATTTATTCAAACTTTAAAACAATTAAATATATACTTTTGCTTTGTTTGAATTAATTTTTAATTTATTCAAATTAATTAATTACTTTTTTAATCTATTTAAAATAATTAATTACTTTTTTATTTAATTAAATCAATGAAATACTTTTTTGTTCAATAAATGCCTTTTAATTACTCTTATTTAAAATCTTTTATTTAATTTTTTATTTAATTGTTTTCCGTTCAATTTGTTTTGAATTATTTCTTTTCAAAATACTTCAAATTACTTTTAAATTATTTTAAGATATTTTAAAATAATTTAAAATAATTTAAATTCTTTTTAAGTCCTTTTTAATTATTTTAAATTATTACTCTAAAATTGCTTTTCTTTAATTATTTTAAATTATTTTAAATTAAAGATTTTGAATTCCTTTAAAACTGTTTCAAATTAAATAGTTTTTATTAATTTAAAAAATTAACATTTTGAATTATTTGAAGTTTCTCTTTCACAATTTATTTTTAAAATTAAAATTAAAACTTTATTTTTAATTACACATTTCTTTAAATTCATTTATTAAAATAATTTATTTCAAATTGCTTTCAAACAATTCCTTTTCAATTACTTCAAAACTTCCATTTCAAACTTCACAACTCCCTAAACCCTAAACCCTAAACCCTCGCGGACTTCCTGCACGGAACTGAAGACGGGGAGTTCAAACCTCCCACAAGAACTTCTCCAAGTGCTGCCCCCCTTTGAAGGGTTTACCCCCCCCACCAGCTGCGTGCCGTAGAGCAGCGCCTGTTCGCTGTGGAAACTCCCCTGCGCAAACCCTAAACCCTAAACCCTAAACCCTAAACCCTAAACCCTAAACCCTAAACCCTAAACCCGGGCCCTGCACCCTTTCGCCCTTAACCCGCAGCCCCTGGACCCCAACCCTCGGTGCAGCGCCTGTTCGCTGTGGAAACTCCCCTGCGCAAACCCTAAACCCTAAACCCTAAACCCTAAACCCTCAAGCCTGGGGCAGGAACCCTGGGATCTAGAAGCAGGGCCTTCTCGCGGTGAGCTCTGCTGTGAATCAAACCCTAAACCCTAAACCCTAAACCCTGAACTCTAAACCCTCGAAGCAAGGGTCCCTCGCTCTCTAGGCTTCCCTGACACCAAACCCTAAACCCTAAACCCTAAACCCCAAACCCTGATAGCCCTGCGCCCGCAGCAGCGCAGCACCCCAAGTGCTACAAGTCGTTCTACTGCTGCTGCTGCTGCTGCTGCTGCTGCTGCTGCTGCTGCTGAAGCAAATGGCAGCAGCTGCAGCAGAATGTCAGGCAAATGGGCTGCTAGAATGCGGCGCTTCGGGGCTCAGCGTCTAGGGTTTAGGGTTTAGGGTTTAGGGTTTAGGGTTTAGGGTTTACCTGGTGGCCCGTTAAGCCCTGGCAGATCACTTTGGTGTTGCGGTCAACGAAGACGCGCGCAGTGGAAGAAAACGCCTGGGGCAAAAAATAAATAAATAAATAAATAAATAAATAATTAATTAATTAATTAATTAATTAATTAAATTTAAATAATAAATAAATAAATAAATAAATAAATAAATAAATAAATAATAATTAAAGGCCTTTTCAAGGATGCTCCAGATAGAAGAGAGGGCAAAATAGAAGCCTCGGAAAGAAAAACAAGCAGCAGCAGCAGCAGCAGCAGCAGCAGCAGCAGCAGCAGCAGTAGCAGCAGCAGCAGCAGTAGTACATGCGCGCTGCTGCTGCTGCTGCTGCTGCTGTCGTTGCTGTTTTTGTTGTTGTTGCTGCTGCTGCTGCTGCTGCTGCTGCTGCTGCTGCTTGCTGCGCTATGGGGGAGTGGAGCGGAGCGGCTGGGGGAAGGAACAGGTGGAGATGCTCGGGTGTACCGCTGCTGCCGCCGCTGCTGCTGCTGCTGCTGCTGCTGCTGCTGCTGCTGCGTCTGCAGCAATTTGTGTGGAAATACGCAGCAAACTGCAACGGAAAAAAGGAAATAAATGGGAAAATGGATTTAAATGGAGAATTGAAACAGAAGAACTCACCCTGGCGTTCCTGGAGAGCGGAAAGAGCAAGGCGGTGGAGAGCGCCATGGTGGCTGCGGAGCTGAGCTGTACGTACACCCCGATTTTCCGCCTTTTTTCGCACCAAAAGGCTCTTCAATTCATTTAATTTAATAAATTAATAATTCTAAAAAAGAAAAAAGTGAAACTGCATGCGTTTTCGGCTCCGCAGCCCCACTGCTGCTCGGGGCCCCTGAGCTGTACGTACAGCCCGCGCCGCCGCCGCCGCCACTCCACTTTGCTGCCTTTTCTACTTCAAAATTAATTCTTTTTTCATTTTCTGCATTTCTTTGCATTTGTTTTGCATTTTAATGCCAAATTTAGTCTTTTTGGACCCCCCACACGCCCCCGACACGCCGCCGCAACGACTAAACCCTCATTTAGGGTTTACGCCTCACGGCCCTGAGCCATACAACCCGAATTAGGACTTACGGCTCAGGCGCCGAAACCCTAAATTAGGGTTTAGGGTTTGGTCTGCTGCCAACACTCACTCTTAAAACCCCTAAGCTGCAGTCGTGGGGCCCGCCACGGCAATCAGACCTCACCTAATTTGCTAGCTAGCCACACTGTGGTGGCTAACTAGCCATACTGCGGTAGCTAGCTAGCCATACTGCGGCAGCTAGCTAGCCATACTGTGGTGGCTAGCTAGCCATACTGTGGTGGCTAGCTAGCCATACTGCGGTGGCTAGCTAGCCACGCCTGGGGACTGGCTAGCCACGGGAAGCCGCTACCTAACTGCAGCACAACTCCCTAGCCACCTAGCTAGCCGGCTTTCCAGCCACAGCTACTCTAGCTGACTAGCTAGCTGCGGCTAGCTAGCTAGCTAGCTACAACTAGCTGGCTAGCTAGCTACAACTAGCTGGCTAGCTAGCTACAACTAGCTGGCTATCTAGCTACAACTAGCTGGCTAGCTAGTTACAACTAGCTGGCTAGCTAGCTACAACTAGCTGGCTAGCTAGCTACAACTTGCTGGCTAGCTAGCTGCAGCTAGCTGGCTAGCTAGCTACAACTAGCTGGCTAGCTAGCTGCAGCTAGCTGCTTAGCCAGCTGCAGCTAGCCACACGAGCAGCGTGCAGCGCGTCGAGCCCGCGGAAAGCCCTCATGGCTCCAGACAATAGCAAAACCTCAAACCCTAAACCCTAAACCCTAAACCCTAAACCCTAAATCCCAAACAACTGGCTATCAAATGGGAAGGAAGAAAGCAAGAAAGATGAACTGATTTTGCTGAAGAGCAAATGCTAAAGAAAAGCACCGCAAATGTTTCGCTGTCATTCTCTTTGGCCCCTTTTTCTTTTACCGAAACCCTAAACCCTAAACCCTAAACCCTAAGTCCTAAACCCTAAACCCTTGTAGCGTAGCTGGAAGTTTTTTGTGC